AAAAAAAAAAAAAAAAAAAAAAAAAAAAAAAGAATACAAAGGAAAATGCAAATGTAACTACAAGACAGTTTAACAGCAATAATTTAATGCATGCACATGACCAGCTTCTGTAAAACAATTCATTCCCATTCAAAGAAATTACACTTCTATACAGACTCTCTCAACATGAAAATGAACTCTTCTAAAACAAAAGCCGCATCAACGTTCAGTCCAATAATAAACGGAAAACCATTCTTTTGCTAATATTTCATATATACCTAGTCTCAGAACTCATCATAATTAATTGCAACAAAAATCCGTCTAAGCATTGTCAGTGTTCCAAAAAATAATTCTGTAAATTCCTTTCTTTAATCAAATCTCCATCCAACTTATGAAAAAAAGCAAGAATTTAAGTGCAAGAGGAATAAAAGTTGCTTAAAAAGAGAAAAAGAAAAAAATATAGAAACATAATTAACAAGTTTTACTGAAACACGAAGAACACAAAAATGTTCCAAATTACACAAATCTTCCTTCAGTTATACAGCGGTAAGCCAAGTGAGAACAAATAAATGGCGACCCGTCAGCGCAGGTCTGTCTTTCTCAGCAAAACAACTTGAAAAGCGAAAAAAATTAAATAATTTTGACTAACTGGCTTCCTTGGCCACCTTGTCTTGCTCTGCCTTCTTTACAAGTTCTTCAAATTCCTTTAGCTGCATTTTTAATTCTTCAACTAATTCACAGAAATTCTGCTTCAGTTTATGAATATCTTCCGAGTGTCTAAAAACGCACAGATGTAAAATGATTATTCACCTCTACTAAATTTCCCGCTAATTCCTAAAATATGCCTAGTTTTTCCAGCAGCCTAAATCTGCCATTAATATGCTAAAAAACAGCAGCATGCTTCCTCATTTAACAAACATTTTTAGGTAATTTTAAACTGATTTACTTATTAACTTCTCCTGCAGCTGCAAGAAGCTCATTTTTGGCAGAACCTAATGCTGGCTGAAGTTCGTCGGTAGAAACTAATTGTTGTGAATTTAGCACCACCTGCAAGATTTCGCTGTGATTTAAATTGTACTTTTATAAGCAAAAGTTGCAAAATCTTAATATTTCGAAGCAAGAGATATAACAGTAAGTTTCGGTGTTAATTTTGAACTTAACAAAGGGCCTCACTTCTGCATTTTTTTGGAACTGCTCTAGAAGCCTGATTCGCTCCATCATCAAGTCATAACCAAATTCTATTCCAGCACGTTTTTGGCCAAACGTAGCGTACTGCGGCTAAAATTACTAACATGGAAAGGTCACAAAACATAAAAAGTCAAAATTCACAAAGAAGTAAAGTTTCCAAACCCACTTCTTCGCCAATATTACAGCATTTCTTCAAAACGTCGGGCTGAATTTTGAAAATAAAACCATAGCCTAATTCATTAATTTTCTTTTTCAAAGAAAATACATCAAGCACAGTGTCTGGCTTAGAGCCGTCATAAGGCGGAAGCCCAAGTCGTTCTTCAAGCGCAGTTAAACGACTTTCAATCGCCGCTTCCATAACAAAACTGAAAACTGCAAAAGGACTTTCATCAGATGTAGCAGGGATATTACATAATAAAGGCAACATAGACAACTGGAAAAAAAAAATGTCACGAAGAAAGAAAATAAAAGCCAAAAAGACGACAATAAGATGACAAATATACATATACACAACCAGAATCAAGAGAATTTCTGACTGAACAATGATGAGATGCGTAAAGAAACCTCGCATTTTAGTTGAGGAACTATAACTAAGAACATGGCAACAAAGCTTGAATTAGCAAAAGTTCGTTTTGGAAAGGAAGTTTCAGCGGCAAAACGCCAACAGTGGCTTGAGCTTAGCTATTGCAGCTAAATTTCACTTTTCAGCCTATTCGTTCTAACAGGTCGAGTTTTCAGTTGTAAAAATAAATAAGTTTTGTTTTAAAGCGAGTTTTTGATTACTGTATTATGTTTTGGTAATGTATCAATTATCGGAATGCAGTGGTAGGGTCCCGACGTTATTATGCTCAGATGCTTTTTGATTTTAAGTTGACTGACTGACCTTTTATATTTGTTTTTGCTCTTAGTTGTTCCAAGTGTCTTTCGTCTAGGGGTTTTGATTCAAAATTTATCCTTATTATTTTCACATTTGTAATTTCGATGTTTTTTGGGAGTTTATTGTCTAAAATTCTTGCAGATTAACAATTAAACTTATTTTAATGAACAAAATTCTTTGTCCTTTTATCAAACCATCTTTGAGTTCAGCAATTTTACGATCATTTTCTTATCGCATTTTGATAAGGATTTCAAGAATTATAAAAAGTGAGCAGTAGAAAGAGAACAAGTCTTTGTTTTCCACACGGTTCTATAAATGTTTTTAAACTCTAGATGAAAAGGGGAAAACTGTACATTTTAAAGTTGTTTAGTGCGGAAGGGAGGAAGTCGTGGAGTTAGTGAGAATGTAGCTGTCGTTCTTCTGTAGCTTCTCTATAACATACCCTGAAGTCAACTTTGACGACAGATATTACTGATCTGCAGAAATTGTCTATTAGTCAATATGCTAGTTGTTAACTGTGAAGTTCGTAGTCGCAAAATCACTAATCAGCTGGTCTAAAGGTGGTGGGATCTAAACTAGCTTTTTTACATATGAGACTCATTTTTTGTTATGGGTCTTAACAGAAGTCGCCAGGCAGAGTTAGCTGACCAATGTATATTTAGTAACATTCACTCTTAGGCCCAAGATGTCTCTCAGTCGTATGAATTGCATGGTGGGTAGGCCTCGTGTCTTTGTATTTTCTATCCAAGCTGTTCGAGAAGCGTCTACTGCTCGTAAGTGTGATGCATTTCTCCTTTTTTATCTTTTTTTATTAAAAAGAAATTATAGTTAGATCACTTTTTTTGAGTTTAGGAAGTCTACGCAGTGGGGGTAATTAGAATTTATGGCTCTACCTAGTTATTTTCATTCGTCGTTTAATTTTACCAGTATATTTTTCGGGTTTATATTTAGCTGCAGCAGACGCAAAAAAACCGTTGTTTGAGGACAAGGCGGACGAACCTAATCTTATCACCAAAATTATCTGTCGTTTCAAGGGTTTGCTTTTAATTTTTTACCTTTTATGGTTTTTCTGCTTCTTAAGTTAAGACTTTTTAATCCTGGTGTTTCTTGTATCTTATAGGGATACCTCTCAAAGGGGAACTTCATCCTCCACGGGCATTTATGCAGGATGTAGACAAAGAGTTTTTTGCTCCTGAATCACTTCCAGAAATGCCAAAGGATTACAAAGAGTATCCGGAACGAGACTTGGTGGGTTGTTAAAACAGATTATTTTGTTTTTTATCATTTGCTCTCTGAGAAACTAAACTTGAAGTTCTTCAAACTCTTGCTAGCGATTCCATTTTTTAGAAGAATTTCCCATATCCGACACGACGTATGTATCCCCCGAAATCAAGGTTGTTAATGTTTCCGGACTCATGGTTCACACCTTTTTACAAACTGACTGGTGTTTCAGGTTGAATTTCATTGTTTTCCTGAAGCAGTTTTTTTACTTAAATAGGGTCAAACTGTTATGCTTCTTGGAACCCAAAGATTACTGCTTTTTAATTTGATTTTAATGATTGAGTATTTAATATTGGATCTTTTTCAATCGATTTCAACATTTAATTGCATTGTCTTAAGTATTTTTCGAATAACTCTACTCTTCTAATTTCTTTTGTTCTCACGTTTTTTACCTCTATGTTTTTTTTTGAAAATTCTCCCCATTTTTCTTTAGTTTTCTATTTAGCTTTTTATAGGACCTTACATATTTTTCGGAGGACTGTTCCTGTTTTTGGTCAACAAAGAAATATTTGTCTTTGATGATGCAGCTGCTATATTAGGAAACTGGATCCTTTGGTATCTCTTCATTTCGAGAAGCTTTGGATGTAAGTAGTTCAAGTCGCTTATTCTGCAACATTTTTGAGATCTTTATTTTTGAGTCATACTCAGCAGGTGAAGTTAAAAGTTTAGTTTTTTGTACGAAGAGTCTAAAAATTTTTGGCTGCCCCCTGTCCTTTTTTTTCTTTGGGCAGTCACAATCAACTCAAGGGTTTTGTTGTAATAAACTTTTTTTCCAGATCGACTTGACAAGTATGCGTATTCTTTGTACCAGCAGGAAATAGACAAGTACAAAGCCTACATAAAGGAGGATTTAGATACTGCAAAG